AACTACTTAGACTAATTAGATGCATATGATACACGATAACCTAACTTATCTCCATGTCACTAATGATCTACAGTCCAGTCCATAGACAATCCAATGTTTTTTTTGGGTGCAAAACACAATCCGAAACTATGTTAGGTTTTTTCGAACATGAGTCAGACTCAATTGGCTAATGGTTGATTCATCTTTTGTAGAATAATTGTGCCTATTAAAGTTTAAAACCCTTTATCAACATTTTTTATACGACTACTTTTAAAGTTTTGTCAAAGTTCACACAAAAAAGTTTTGTTCACACCATTTAGGAAAATATAATGAGTACATAACATATATTAAATAATTATTGACTCTACAAATGGAGATGGAGTAACATGCATTTTCTGTATAAAATATGTGCATGCTTATACCAACCAAATTGTAGTTATAAATATTCCTAGGAGTAACTAATCATTACATGTACGCACGAAACAGAAGTTTGTAGATATATGGACAAACCACTTGAGTATCAGGTTTACCTTTAAAGGTTTTTAATCGTAAATACAACAATGTAAGAATCAAGCAGCCTTAATTAATCAGCTACTAGCTAATTAAACCCTCGATTAAAGTATCGTAGCTGGAGGAATCAAGTAGAAATAGATATTCATTTTGAATTTTCAAGAGTTCGATCTCAACGCTATGGCCTATGCAAAGAAATTATTGAATCTATCCAGTTTAAGACTTTAAGTTATTGTATGTTGTATTTGATGTATTTGAAGATGAGATTTCCAAAGCGCTCATTGCCAAAGAAATTTGTTCACTCTATAGTTTCTTAATCATGCGATATATAGTGAACGAAAAACTTAGTGTAAGAAAAAGAAAAAAAATGCCCTCTTAGGTCAAGAAGTAAAACATTCTCCCATCATAAAGACAAACCCCTATCTAAAGATGATTTATTTTCTTCCAATAAAGATTAATTATCAAATTAGCATGTGATCCCAAAAATAAAGGGAATATTCTAGTAATCTTTAGGATTCTTCTTGATAAACTTATATATACATGGACAGGACTGTACATGGAGGCTGGAGCACACCAAAATAATTTTGAAGGGCATTATTGATTTGTAGTTAATGGCAATAACGACATACTTATATAGAGCGACAATATATATATATATGTGGCTGTAACTTGCTCTATATTTTGTAACTTTAAAAGAAGAAAAAAGTATAAACCAACGAAAACAGTAGAACGTGGTATATGAATTAATTAAACCTGTAATTTAGAATATAGTATTCCAATTAAGTATAAAACTTGTTTGTTTGGGACAAAAAAGGAAAGAGAGTGGCTGGTGGTGGTGGCTGCGTGCGAACCAATATATAACTATATCATTACAGAAAAGAAATCTATAGAGGTCGAGAAATATGAAGCAAGCACTCACATTTAACTTTTACAAGATTACTTTAATTATGATTAGTAAACTTAATAAACAGCTAGCTTACATCCCCTCCCCCCAAATATTTTAGTAGTAAGAAACAATGTAGCGCAAATTAGGGCTGGACATGCTTGATATCCTCTTTATACTCAATGAGTCGACTCAGTTTGATAAAACAAATACTTAGTACAAACAAATACTCAGTAATAAATAAACCAATCTTATTACTGGCAAGTAAAAGTCAGCTATTAAATTGGCTGATTATTTTGTTTGTTACTTGTTATATATTATTTGATTTATTAAATATTTGGTAACTATTTCATTAGTGAATTAAAATTTATATATTAGAATAATTTATAAATGGTCACAATTACTCGTTATTTGTCTCCTATTCATTGCTTGATTGGTATATGATCTTTAAGGTCGAAAATATTTATTTTGACCAAGTTGTGTATCAAATAGTATATTTAAACGTTTGCAAACACAAAACAAATATAAAATATTAAAATAAAAGTAATCAGTTGGTTTATTATTTGTTTTTGCTAATGAATAAATATACATTTTTCAAAATTTTAGTAAACTAACTCATTTGTATTTTCATTTTTATAAGTGAATCAAACTTAAGTTATATATTTATATAATTATAATGGATTTTTTATTTCTTATATAATCTATTTTACGAATAAACTAAAATACAGAAAACAATGACAAAAGAAAAATAATGATATATTATTTATATTTAATAAATTTATTTACCTTTAAATTCTAATAATAATCAAATAATTTATCAATAATTATTAAGTAATTTATAGATAATTTACAAGTAATAAAACAAAGCAAAGACTTATAAATCTGTTAATTTTTTGTGAGTACTTGAATTTGTAAGTATTTAGTTTTTAGCAAACTAAGCATAAATCTAAAATTTTATTATTCGTATAAACAAAATCGAATACTAAATATATCGAAAATACTAAGTACGGGGGTTATGTTCACTTCTAGGAAAAATAGAAATGAGAGGTCCACGTTTCGACCATATTTAATATGTATAAATTCAAAACCATACCTAATCGCGCGTAGCTCTAGTGCTCTAACCTACCCAAAATTTAATTTAAGTGTTAAGTGTGCATGACTTTAACTTTAGGTTCACCGTTCATTTTATATAAATCCCGTTTGTCTATAATTTTCTTACTATATTGCTCATTTCTTACTATATTACTCTTATATGCGTACAAAAACAGAAACTGATTTGTGGACTCTTTTTTAGGCGGTCGAATGTATGGATAACCTACATTTTTCAAATATTATTTTTGAAACAACGTCAGATAACCTTCATGAAGTAATCACAAAGTCAGAGAACCAGCACAACACTGATTTCAATCTCATCCGCCACAATATCTTCTCTCTTTTGGCAAGGATTGAGACATGGAGTCTAGAACACGTTTTTCAAGAATACTATGAGGCGGCAGCGGCTATAGTTTTTAGTGTCACTCGTGATTAACGCCATCAGTCATACATTGCCAGACATGCATCAGTGTGGCTTCATCATCTCCTCGCTCTCGAAGCCCAAAAGTAAAGATTTGTTTTGGTAAGCTTTTTATCATTTTGTTTAGATGTCTATTAACAATTTAACATCCCAATCTTACCTTTTGTATGTATCATGTGTTCCCGTTTGTTGAACCATTTATACAATCAGTGTTATAAAAGAAAATATTGCTCATTTCTTCTGCTGCATGCTTAGTATTAAAATTAATTATACAATGTACACATTTTTTTTTATCAAACTTACAATGTACACACACATATATATATGTAACTTGGAACCAAAACAAGTAATCAAGATTTGTTTTTCTTTTTGTGGAACTAATTAAAGATGAAACGAAATGAAAGACTTCTTTTTTTTTAACACAATGAAAGAGTTCTTTATTATTACTAAATCATGAATTATTATGTACGGCAAAAGCATAATGGAAACTTTTATTTATGAGACACGAAACACGCAGATAGTTTGAAAGTGATTCATCAGTTCAGTCTCAGTCTCAGATATCAAACAACACAAACATAACATTTAACATCGATGATATACAGATTTTCAACAGCAGTGGAGCTCCGTTTTCAATCCTAATTTTATTTTGTATAGACATGCTTTCCTAAAGAAGATTTGTAACATTCAATTCAATTTCACTCAACTCTTCTAATCAAATACTTGTAAAAGGCGTCCAGTTTTACTTGTTCCGCTGTTCAAGTTTCATATAAAATCATTATCACAAAATTGCTATGGAGATTTGTGCAAATACAAAAAAGTTGCAACCAATGAGTTTGTTTCATTACCGTAATGGTAGCATTTTATTTGAGAACCGTTTTATATCAATAAGACTCACAGAGCCGATAAACACAAGTCTAGTAAACAAGACCAATAGCTTTTAAAAGGACACAAATGGATCGAACAGCTATTCGAAACCTTTAGACATTTCTCTCCCGGTAGATTTGAGTCAAGTGTTTCAACTGGGTAGTATGATCCTACAATTCAGAGAGTAGGATCAATTGCATTGTCCAGAAACAAACCGGTTGAATAAGAAGCACATCAATTTGGAATCATACCGGAACAACTTGGATTAAAATTTATTATTAAATACTAATACAATTGGAGAACCAAGGAATGAAAAGAATGTGCTTAAGACTACTAGACCAGCTTCAAAGACAAAAAAAATCTCAGCAAGTCTGAAGAGCAGAAACATGATTTGATCTAGGAGCAGTTAAACACCTCTCATGTCACCTAATTTATAACAAGTAGGTTGCCTGAATCACCGCTCCATATCTCACTATAATCCATCCTAAACAATAATTTGCAAGTTAGATAAAAAAATTATGACTTAAAAGACCAATAAGATTGAAAAGGATGTGCTTAAGACTACTAGACCAGCTTCAAAGATTAAAGAATCTCAGCAAGTCTGAAGAGCAGAAGCATAATTTGATCTAGGAACAGTTAAACACCTCTCATGTCATTGTCTATTTAACAAGTAGGCTGCCTGAATCACCGCTCCATATATCATTATTATCTAATTATACAAATACAATGAAAAACGTGATGAATCTATGTGAAATATATCTCAGCGCCCAATATCAACAGACGAATTCGCTAAAGAATCAAATTCCAAACCCAACTTCCGATCTAAAACCACGACAGCAGAAATCCATAAAACTAATCATAGGAGAAGAAGAAACGCAGACCTATCGACTAATAGATTGAATTGGTTTCTCATAAGTTAAGCTATTTAAAGAGCAAGAAGACGGCGAAACATTAGGTCAAAACCTTGTAGGGCTTTATGTGGGCTTTCATTGTTTATTTATGTATCTTCTAAAGTATTTTAACTTGTAGATAGGCTTATATCTAACATAACGTGGGCCTTATGGGCCCAAAAATATGAAATCTTCTAATCTCCAATACTTTTTGGTGGTTGGCGAGAGTTTTGTTAAGTCTTTCACTAATAGGTACTACAATTTTGAAATTCAAGATATTATTTCCCTAATAAAAAACAAAAATGTTCAAGATAAAGCAAATCTTTCAGCTTAATTTTATTATTGTAATTATAAAATCTTTCTAGGAACATCTTCCTCCATAACCCGCGTTGTTGAGCAGTGCTTGCCTTATATCTTCCGAAGTAATGCAGTCTCTCTGCCCAGCAACCTATATTTTGTATATTAGTATCTGTCAAATAATCATATACAATATAGAAAATATGTTTCATCGTTTGTAATTGCTGCAAGTATGGTTATATCAAAGTGTAATAATTTATATATGTACCTCTGAACAAGAAGCCTGTAATGAAAAGTCATTGAAGCAGCTAATGACACATTGTTGAATCTCCAAGCCTAGATTGATCTCTAATGTACCAACCGTTGATAGAAGCAACCCCGGTCTTGAAGAACAACATATATCTATGTGTGTATTAACTTCTCTTTGATTCACTTCAAACTGCAAAACAGATGGAAATAGTCAGAACAGAATTGTCATCAACTTCAAATGTTATTAGTAAAAAAAAAAATTGTTTACAGAAAAAGAATGAGTCAAGGGGTGTAATTGTTTTTTTACCTTGGGGGAGTTTCTGACAATAGATTGGTTTGTAGTGAGATTGTTCTTGAGATGACAGTTGCTTCCAAGTTCTTGCAACTTGTTAATCTTGTCCAAAAGCTCCTTCATGTAATCTATGGCATCTCCTAGTATTGATGTCCTATCCATCTGAAATTGTTTTCATAGTAAAAAAATCAATCATTGTTTTTATTTACTTCCTCATTATTAATTGTGGGTAATAATAATATTCAGGTCAAATTTCCTTAAACTCCAGTATATATGCAGATTAACAAAAAGCAAAAACATTTTGTCACTGAACTGTGTTGAAAAAGGTTCCAACAAGAAGAAAACAAACATGTAAGCTGACTAAAAGTATATATATTCAGAACATACTTTTGAAAAAAAATAAAAAGCTACTGGAAATAAATATGAAAATATAGGGTTTATGGAAACTTTGCCTTGGTGATTTTGGGGACAATGGATCTGAGCATGGAGAGACGATCATTTAACCGCTTCCTCCGCCGTCTCTCCGCCATGAGGTTCTTCGAGGGTTGACCTTCAACCTTCTTAATACTCTTCTTCTTGTCCGTCTCTCTCATGAAGCTTTTGCTTTCTTCTATCACTAATGGTGAAGAATTTTCAATGGTGTTGCCTTCTCCAGAAGCTGAAAGCCTCAATGGAGGATAACAAGGAGATTCTATGACATCTTGTAACGTCTCAAGAAAAGGATAGTCGAAAGATGAGGAGAACAACGGAGTAGGAGATGACGACGGTTGTGGTGGTTGGTGAAGCAATGGAGGCGGTTGAGAGATGAGATCCACCAAAGACGAGTAAGTGTGATCAATGTTGTCGTCTTCTTGGAGAGGGAAGAATTGGTCCATAGCCATGAATACACCATTGTTACCATCAAGATTGTTGCTCTCTTGTTTATTCATTTGACTCCATTCCATGTCCATTTTAGCCTCTCTCTGTTATTTGATAAAATGGAGAAGAGCAGTAGAAGATGAATATATGGTATAAGGGAATGAAGTGTGAGCTGTAATTAAATTTTCACATTTGAAGTAAAATGTCAACTAGTTAAAGTGTTTTTGTTTTTTTTTTGGTTCCGTGGTCCAACACAAACCTATAAAGGCATAAGCCTGATATGGATTCTGTCACTTATTGTTTCTTGACTTTTGTTATAACTTACGTACTGTTTGATTATCCATAAGAACCAAGGTGAATGAATCCGCGTCATTGTCACCAACAACGAGCCATCAATCCCCTATATATTATTTGAGAAGCATTACAACATTCTTTGGTAGCCACGTGTCAGCATGAGAATGCTTCTCAAATTTACTAGAAAAAAATGTTGGTCCATATAAACATATAATATACTTTTTATTAGCCTAAATATAAAACTATTATTAATGCTATTCATTATTTCCTTAAATAAAATTTACGGAATTACCTAATATGGTTACAATATATATATGACAATTAATGATTTGAATATGAAGATTTGATAAAAAAAATTATAGCATCTACTATTTTTGTTAAATTT